TAAAAACTGAAAGGGTTCAAGAAAAGCTCTCCATAAATTGTCGGATATCTGGAAAATCTATTTACGCTATAGTTCTACAGACTTTTATGACTGCTCTAGAAAGAGATGACCCTCATTTCTCCACATACCGGTTCAAGGAGAAAATTTATGATATTAGAGAGCTTTTTGGTATGACAGCCAAAGATATAAGAAAATGGATTTCAATTTAAAACTAGACAAATTCCAATTTAAAACCAAAAGATATTATTTTAATAATTTGAGAAATTAACAGTCGCACCAGCTTATTTAGGGCATTATTTTATTAGTAGATTCAATATTATCTGAAGCCTTTAACATGAATCTGAGGGGTTATTTTGTTCGGGTTTTGGGTTTTTTTTTTCACTTTAGCACCACCAGATGTTATAAATGCAGTGAAATTCTGACATTTCTGTTATTTGGGTCAGGCTGGATAATAACACTAAAATCAGAGGAGATAATTCTATCCCGAGAGTGCCACTGGACTTTCACAGGAAATCTTCTCAAATAATGGCAATAAAAGAGGGAGGACAGGGTCCTATGTCCCTCACCTTTGTGCATATGTAGGTGGGATTAGGAGATTCTAACACAAAACAAGCAGGCTCCTTTTCCTCTCACTCCAGCTAGTGCTTATCTTTCTGCACGGTTTTACCTGCCAAAAGCCCAAACATTATCAAATCAGAGGAAAGACATTTGCAGGAGGCACTCCTGAAATTTCAGCCTCCTATGCCCAAAGGGTCCCCAGCGACTCCTGTCAGATGCCCTGGCAGAGCGTTTATGAGAGGCAGTACATTAGATGAGGACAAGTTGGACATCAGCTCTCCAAGAGCTCAAGGACCACTCGGGAGTCCTCAGGTCTCAGAGCCTCCTCCAGACAGAGGAGGAGCCTGGCTCAATCTCCATGACCCAGTTATGGACTACGTACTTCTAAGAATAACTATCACATCAAGTGAGGAGAATTTTCTTCCCCCATCCCCATAAACATATCCTTTACCCTCATTACATTTTTATTAAGACATTCCTCAGCACAAGCGCCAAGCAAACCTTTAATACGTTTGAATTTCTTCAGCTTCCACACAGCTGAGAGCAAGTGTGTGTTTCCCTATCTCAGACAACACAGAGCAGACACAAAGAGGAGTGCTCTTGATAGGATGGATGCTCAAAAAAGCACGAACAGCAGAAAATACAGCAGAAGAGTGGAGAAGAGCAAGGGGACAAGAGCTCCAGCCTTTATAACTGCAGGCTGTTCACTGAGACAAAAATATTGCAGCAAAGCCAATGAGGTCAAACATCATTTCCCCTCATCTGGTAACGATGACTGAGGAAGTCTGCATTCATAAAAGGCACAGACTTATCACACACCCTGAAAAGAGAATCCAACCAGTCTTTGTTCAAAGCAGGAATCCCTACACAAATAAAACAAATCTTCAAGGGAGAAAAACTAGGGCTTGTGACAAAATTTTTCAGTAGCCCCTTAGCTCAAGCAGCACTAGTGGGCGCAGCTATAATCACAGCAAACCTACATAATGGGTCTGAACTAGCTTAGCCCTTTCCCTGCAAGCAGAGAAGCTGCCACATCAGTAACTCCGTTGCTAGGGCAACTGCTTACTTTCCATATCAACTGCAAACTCGTTGCTATGGAGACACATATACAAGAAAAATTCCTCTCTATAGCCAAGGACCAGATGGTAGGGAAGTCAGGGAAGTCATGGACTAACGGGCTGTACTAAATGGGACACACACTAGAGGACATTTAGATCTGTACATTCACAATAGGATTAATCTGAACAACTAAATTCACAGGTCTGGCAGTATAAACAAAGCCAGGGAACTCCTCATCTATTCCCCATCATGTGATACTTCATACTCTGGCCAACTACTATTAAACTGCTGAGCTTAATGCAAAGAGGTTTGTACAATCAAGGGCTCAGCATTTTCCCTTCTTCAGCCCAGCTCTCAGTCTCGATCCAGATCAGCCTCATCGCAAAGTTACACGAATAGCCGCGCTGTCAGCTTGCCAGGTAAGCCTGATGGCACTGCAGTTGAAGCGGAATAGCAGCAGTGTAAAAACAAATCCGAGCAGAAAAACGTCTTTTCCTGGCACACCTAAAAGCACCAGGACAGGGCAAGTCAAAAACTGAAGTGATGCAGCCTGCCTTTTTTTTTTTCTCCCCTCTCTGTTACAATGATCTCACATCAGGAAATTCAAGCGTTCATACACAGGCAGAAAAAGCTGCAGACTATTAGATGCATATTTAGCCCCATGAATATAAACTAGTGGAACCCAAGACTGAGAAAACTACTATGCAGAGGGAATTCAAAAAAGAATTAAGTGTTCAGCAGAACTTTTTTTAGCAAAACGATTACTGGAAGGCTACAGAAACACTGGAAAGCACAACTACGAGAGAAAAGGCTTCTAGCTTTTCACAATGTGTCAATGCACATCACCCGGCAAATGCCTGCAATTCCTAGCACTGATTAACTCCTTCCCACCATACTGTACATGTTTCAGAGCCCATCTTGTTAGCATTTCATAACATGCCATTTGTTAAAGGCTGCCTTTTTCCCTTCACATAAAAACAGGAAAACAGGCAGACTCCAAACTTGCAATTTGCAGGATCTGGCTGCAAAGGAGAAGTGGCACAAAATGATTCCTTAGAGATGAAACCCCCCCCTTTCCCCTGCCCCAAGCCCCAGACTAAACCCAGAGAACCCTTCAGAGGGACACCTTCCTTCTGAACAGCAGATATATTTGCTGCAAGGTACTTGAACCAACCCCAAAGTGTGCATTCACACACACATAAAGGTATTTTCAAAGCCATCAGTTGACATTTACTGCTTTCCAAGTCCACAATTAGCTGTCAAGCACCTGATTCAGCAACTCTGACTGAGGGCCAATTCTGTGCTCAGGACTCTGTCTGCCACATCTCTTGGCCAGGACATGAGAAAAACCCAGCAGGGGACTTAAATGACCTGCTATGGTGCATTTTATGTTTTAAGATTCCTATCCCATTCATCTTAATGCTGGCTACCTGCAGTTATTAGCATCTCCAGAAAGTGGAAAAAATTCTTTCTCATAATCTGGGATTTTCCAGGAATGAATAAAACTCCACCTTGTTATTCATACAGACAAGGCCATCCACCACACCTTGTTGTCTATGTAACCATGGCTCTAATCATGAATTTGAGACGTGGGTGACTTGTCATGCATTGTGCGGTGCCACTTCCCTGTGGAGAGGCAGCACGTTGTGGTATTGTTCATCCGAGCTCAGTGGACTGCCGGATATTTGACAGATAGACATGAAGACAAGCTCCTCATAGGAAGGAAGCTGAAATCTGAATAGTCAACTTGTAAACAGAGGAAGAGGGACTGTACAAAACACAAATGGCAGTGTAAACACATGCCTTACAAGTTACAGTATTTTGAGAGGGAGGGGGGTAAATGCTTTGTATGAAGATTTCTTAGAGTCTGGGACAGGATCGTGAACGTCTGGTGTGGCGTTTGTTATTATAGTCTCCCTTCCAAACCAGAATTTAAGACTCTGGTTTACACAAAACAAGATCCAGTTCAGAAACAGGGGTTTTTTTTAATCTCACACACAATCTTTCACAGCAACTAATAGATAAAAATACCAACACACAGTGTATGATCAGCAATATGGAAACATGGATTCTACATAATAGTATTTTTAAAACTAAAAAGAAAAGAAAGATAGAAGGGTCAATCCTTTAAAAAGGGAAAGCTCCAGAGAAAGTTAAGTAATCTAAAATGAAAAGTTCCTAGCTTAGGGTAGTGTGTGACTCTTCCTCTAGAGTTACTTGAGCTCCTATTGCACAGCTTTTGAAGTTAAATAGCACACAAAATAGGGAGAACAGCACCACCAACAGAAGTCTAGTTTCAGGGTAACCAGTTATAAAACAATCATAGCATTTACCTCATTGAAACACAAAATCTGAGTGCATCTATTGTTTATGCCAGGGAAAAGTGTCCACTGTCTGATCTTCAGCCAGTTTTAGAGACAGACCATCAGTGATGTGATCTTACCTGCTATTTATTTCCCTAACCTGTGGGAAGGCCTCTGAAATTAATCTGCAAGCTGATATTTTTATCAGTATATCCCTACTTTGCCAAAGATTCATCCAGACCACTGCTTCTTGAGACAGCCCCCTCCGGAAACTGATACCTGCTCCCAGGCTCACTGACGCAGTAGAAGGCTGTGCAAGGACTGCCTCCGCTGCTCCGCCCGCTTCCCCATTCCCTCGCACACAGCCTCTTCCTGCAGACGCCGCTGAGGTATCAGCAATGAAACCAGGCGACAACTGAGACCAGAAAGCAAAGATGTGCTCCCCAGGCCTCTGCACTGCACCAAGCGCAGAAGCGACGTGAGCCCAGGGAGAGAACAACTGAAATTTTGGTAAAGGGTAACTTTCACCTTTGAGGCCAGACCTGTCTCATCTCTTTGAAGAGCTTTTCTAAAACCTGCCTGAAATGGAACAAAGCTTCATCACCAAAATTCAGAACTACTTCTGCTGGTGTAAGAGAAAGAAAAGTTTTTTCAGATTACAACAGAGACCAGGGAAAAAGCGATGGACTCTTACATAAGGCATACCCCTTCGCTATATATTTGTATTAGCCAAGAACAGCAAGCAGCCTATTTATAACATGATTACATTCATCTAGTATAGCTGGAAACCATTACCACAGCATGATAACTAAAAACAATATTTAACCACTATGCATGAAGACACCAGCTGGGGGGAAAAGAAAAAACACACACCCTGAGTGCTTTCTTACAGATGTCTAGACAATGAATTTAATAAAATCAGAATGAGCAACGCTAAAGAAATGTTGGCTCTCTGAATTTAATGAACTATGTTACCAGGGACAGGGTTGAATGTTCCATATTTCACTGTTAAGGACACATTCAGGGATTAGCAGGTGAATATTTTCAGCACCAGATAGGTTTCCATAGTTCCAAACTTACCTGACTTCTGTCTTTGTCCACTTTCTTAAAACACTTATTCAAGGATAGATTATGTCTCACAGAATTTTTCCATCCAGTGGGTGCATTTGCAAAATATGGAAAGTGTTCCAAGATCCAGTTGTATATATCCTTTACGGGCAGTCTTTTGGTTGGTGAGTCCTCAATGGCCATAAATATGAGGCAGCTAAAGGAATAAGGAGGTTTGCAGTTGGGGTTCTGCTTGGCATCGTAGGGCATGTCAGAGTGGGCAGGAGACGGTGGCGTGTCATCACCAATGTCCTGAACAGGGCTAACGCTCCTTAACACCGAGTCCCCAAAGCTTTTCAGCAAGTTCTTACTCTCATGCAACCAGTTCAAATTAGTTAGTTCTTCATCTTCCATGGCCCCTTTATCTAATCTGATGGCAGGCAAAGAGAAATCTAGGTCCTCGTCATCGTGAAGTGCCTTTGATAAATCGCTATCTTGATAACGTTGGCTCAATCCACTGGGCACACTAATTCCTGAGCCCTCTGGCTTCTTACTGGGAGGCATGACTGGACCCATTTAGACAGCAACTCCTGGGAGAGTGAATCCAAAGGAAAGGAAGAAAAAAACAGAAGAGAAAAGTTAGCTCATCAAAAGATCCTGCATAATGTTTGGACAGCTTTTCCCTAACTGGTCACTTAGCCTTTTGCCACCTGACAGGTTCACAAATACTCACAACTGTTAAGTAAAATAATCTAAAATCAGCACACAGAAAGAAATTTCAGTTGATGGAATAAGATGATAATCCAGATACACCTCAGTTCTGCATGAAAGTGAAGCCCCCACACAGGAAATCCCGGAGAATGTTCCTTTAATGATGAATAGGTGTATCAAAGCATTGATTGTATCCGACTGTATCACTTTAATAAGCATGTGAACTAAAAAAAACCACACTAAGTAACAGTGACCTAAGGGCAGTTCTTCAATTTCAGCTGTTTCACATTTGAGGACAATACAACAGCACCATGATTAAAGTCACTCTGGCTAAAGGCCAGGGCAGACAAACATCCAATTTGACTATGGACTCAGTTGCATCAAAACTCAGAAACGATGGCAGAACTTCAAAACCAGCAAGGGCAGGAGAAAGGAGAAGGGAAACCAACACACAATAGTTTTGGGACCAGGGCCAAGACATGGGGAAACAAGTGCCGGAGGAATAGAGCATTTTAAAACATATGTAAACAGAGGAGATGCTAACATTAGCTGAACTGCATTTCAAACATGGTAGAAAACAGTCAGAAAGCCTGCTGTGATGTTCAACAGTGGCCTGTGAGAGACAGGATGAGCTGCTGAGGGTACTGTATAAGCAGGGCCTAGGGGGGACACCTGTGAGCAGTAATATTTGGGATGCTTTGAGCCCTTTATAAGCTCAGTGAAGTTGTGCACCTGCCCAACTGAAGAGAATCAGATAGGAGACCAACAATTCTACTTCAGAAGCAGGAAACAGGCTCACTTGGCTTCTATATACAGTCAAACTGCCAGGATTTAGGTCTGGAAATGTGAACAGCAGTAGAACAAAAATTGGAAAGAGTTAAAAACAAATTTTAAAAGGATGAGACTTCCTGCACAAACACTGAACAGGAACAAAATGATTCCCTGTACCTAAAACATAACCTCAGCAGCTCCCTGAAGTCGTGCAGTCACACAGTCAGTACTGTGAATGAAAGGCAAAAAACCCTAGAGATAACAATAGAATAAATCATCTATCTGCAAGGAAAAATAGAGCAACACAGCCATTCTGGGAAAGAGAAATGATGGACTTTATTTTAGCTGTTATAAACAGGCAAAAATGAAAACTGAAAGTTCCTCGGGTCTTTCTACAAACACATTACACCAAAGCAGCCATTACTAAAAATAAAAACACAGAACTTTTCTGCACAGAAACCCTTCAATACACACCATCACTCAAGATACTCAGTGAGAATGTGCAGTTTTACACGAGTATCTGGGAAAAGAAAAGTATCAGGGAAAGGAAAAAATACCACGGCAGATATAAACACCGGGTGGCAAAACTTACGTCGGTCCCACTTCCTAGCTTTCAAAACTGCAACCAGCGCAGCCAGAAGGTAAACAAGGGAATCGCCGGCGTCCTGGGGCTCCGGCATTGCCCTACCTACGCCGCACGCTCAACTTTGACTCCAAATGGAAGTTACGTCCCATGAGCTTCTAAACAGGAAAATTATATGATGGCTGACAGTAAAGTAATTTAATTGCACTGTTGCTATGACAACATGCTGCTCTCTTTCTGTTTAATTTGCTTATTTGCCAGTATCCTCCCAAAGGGCCATATCACTCCATGATTTTTCTCCCCGTCTCTCTTTCGCCGCTCCAAGCAGCGGGGGTGATCGGGCGGCCACGGCCCCGCGGAGCGCCCTCGGGCCAGCAGGGAGGGCCGGCGGGGCCGGGCCGGACAGCGGCTGCCGGCGGGGCCGCGGCGGACGGGCGGGCGGGGTGCCCGGGGCTACCCCCGCGTCGGCGGGGCCCGGCTGGGGCCACGCCTGGGGGTTACGGGGGGGACTGCTACGGAGGCCCGTGGCGGCGCCCCACGGGCAGACAAAGGCGCGCCGGTCACGGGCGGTCCCGCAGCGGAGCCCCCGGGCAGTCCCGGCGGCGCCGGCCCCGCAGCCCCCGCGCCGGCCCGGGGGGCGGGCAGAGCCCCCCCGCCTCGCGCCGCACCCGCCGCGCGGGGGGGCGGGCGCCCATTGGCCGCGGCCGCAGCCAATCAATGGCGTTGCCAGGCGACCGGCGCTGCCCGGGCGGGCGGCGCGCGCCGCGCACCCCGCCAATGCCGGGCAGATGTCACCGGCCCGCGCCGGGCCCGCGCGCCGCCCGCGCGCACCGACCGCACGTGCCTGCGCGCGCGCGCACGGCGGTCCCCGCCGGGACCCCCCGTCGGGACCGGCCCGGGCCAGGCGCGCCCCCGCGGCTTGGGCACGGCCGGGCTCGGAGGGGTCACACGGCCGGGCCGCGCACCAACTCCCGGCCAAGTTGTGGCGCGGGGCCGGGCCGGGCGGGACTGCAGCGCGCCGCCCCCCCGGCGGCGATCCCCGCCAACAACAACAGCAACAACAACTCACCTGGCTGGGGGCGGCGGTCTCACCGCGGTCCCGTCATGGCAGTGGCGCAAACTTTCATCTGACGGAGCCGGGCATGGCGCGTCCCCGCCTCAGCCCGAGCCCCGGGGGTGCCGCGGGGGTCCCGGCGCACGGGGCTCCGCCGCCTGCATGGGGCCCGCCCGCCCCGCGCTCCCGACGGGCAGCGGTCGCCTCGGTGTGAGCCCGAGAGCGAGAAATTGTTTCCACTGCAAACAAAAAAGGCGACACATGACCAGGGAGGGAGGGGAGAGACGGAAAACGTGGGCTGGGCCAGCCGCGACGGGAGAAGCCGCGTAAGGGAGGGAGGGAGGCAGGGCCGGCGGCGGTGGGGGAGGGCGGCGGCTCCGCGGGCCGGCGGCGGGACCGGCGGTTCCCTCCCGCGGGGCGCCTGCCCGGCGGCGGCGCCGGGGTCGCGCCGGGCCGGCGGCGCTGCCGGGGGCGGGCGGGTGTCCGGCGGCAGGAGGCGCCCGGGGAAGTCCCCGGTGCGGAGGGAACCGGCAGCGCTGCGTGCCCGAACCGGCGGCCGTGGCGCTCCCACTTGTGCGAGTGTCCTTCTCCCCGGCCCGGCTGGGCCGACCTCCCTGAACCGCGGCGGGCACCGACGAGCCCCGGGAGCCCACGGCTCAGCAGAGCACAGCCCTGCCACTGCCTCCCCCCGCAAGAGGAACGGGGGAGGTATCTCTGAATACCCTCCCGGCGGGCAGGTAATTCCTGCCGAGGACTGGCGACCCTGCCGGCCCAGCTGCGCACTCGGGAGTGCGGCAGCCGAACACCGGCCTCGCCGGTGTGAGCGGGAGCCGGGCCACACAGGGATGTGCGGGAGCGACAGAAGGAGGTCCAACACGAGGGCTCTGCTGCTGACTCTGCGTGTCATGAAGCTACGGTCTCGCTGAGGGTCTGCACGGTGTTCAGTAAAGAACTGTGTTGCAGAAATCTGCAGCAACAGCTGGGGGGGGGGGGCAGAAATTATTTTGTTAGGGAAATGTGCATTAAAACAAGGCTTGACTCAATTAAGAAGAATGGTGCATATTTCTCATCTTCTACCCTACCCTGACATAACTGGTATTAAGTAAAAAACTCCTTACCATCAGCTAAATTAATTGAAGGGAACTAACTTGATTTAAAAATAAAGAAGCTGCCCAGTCTAGACAGCACTAGTTGAACGTACAGTCTCTTATATGCTACGTGCCTGATTCTCAAACAGCTTCAGTGCTTTGCACCCTGGAATGTCTCTCTACCCGTAAAGCAAGTACATGGAATTGTTTGAAGTTGGCTCACAAAAATCAAAGATTTTCTGCTCTGGATAAACAAGGCTTGCAGATTTAGCATACTTGAAAATAAATTTGACTTACAGTATAGAAAAGGTCTGCTGCAGAAACATAAATAAGTCAGAAATACAGGTATTCTTTCTAATGCAGCCCTCCCTGGACACAGAAATTGTCACTGAGCATTTTAGCTGTTTTATTTAAAAAAGTTAGGATAGCTGTCTCGAGACCTTGCAGGAATTCTATGCTGGCCCACAGTCAGTATTATCCCACTTAACCAGGTTTACCACTGTATCCTTCTGCATGCCTGTGTCCATACTATTTCTCAAGGCATTGGTTACCTCTTTTAATCTCTGACACTCGTGAAATTCTCAGTTTTAGACAAGACTGGCAACCACCTCTTCTCATAGTGCAGGGCTAAGAAGCATTTTGTTGATTCTTTGGAAATAGAAATTCCTGTCATAACTAGCTAAGACTTTGTTTTGCCGATAGCCTTCCCTCCCCTACCCAGTGAATAGCTATTTCACATTCTTGCATATTTTCAAGAAGACATGCCAGCAGCTGAATTGCAGAATGAGAAGAATACCTATCAGGCAGCAGAGTATCATCATTACCCATTGGTAACCCGGCTATGTGACTCCACCAGCCCTAACACTCAAACAGTCAGCAGACCATTAGTTTACACAGTTCTTATCTTGTGGCCGTTTGGTTTCAAACCCCAACTAAATTATCAAGTCATAACTCCACCCACCTGAATTTATTCCAAATGCTTCAACGTTTTTCTGAGTGAATCAACATGTCTCTTTATTGGCAAGCAAGGAGATTTATTGCATTTATTATCACTTGTAAAAGTCAAGTGCTTTGAAAGACTACCAAGAAGAATTCAGCTAATGAAAGTATTTCCGAAGTGAGAAGGGGGAAGCCTCATGAGATGCAAGGTAGTATGTAAAATTTATATCTTGAATACATTATGTACACATCCTATTCAGCTCAATTCTGTTCAAAATTAGTGGCCAAATTCAGCATCAATATTTGTGGAATAAGATCGGTTTCAGAGTTTTCTCCCTTTTCCATGGCAGGTAGAAATTTCCCCAGAGTGCACATTAGGGATTACATTGAAGGGCCGCTGTGAGACATTTGCTTGGTAGACAGAAAAGCTAGCATGATCAAGCACAGGGGCCAGCAGCAGGTGACAGAGAAGCCCAGGAGAGCATGGGGACAGACTGCCCGCTGGGTCAAAGAGCTGGCACAGGGCTCCCTGCTGAGGTGCCACATGAGAGGCAGCAGTGCAGGGCAGCCTCTCGCTGGCTCCAACTCACCCCGGGCTCAACAGCAACTGCTGACTTGCAGAGGAGTAAAACACCAGTGGTTAGGCAAACACTGATATCTTGCCTTTTGAGAAGACTGTCCCCCAACTTCTGGCTTTTTGCTGAGATACCTAATACAACTAATTTAAGAAGGGAGCATACCGTCTCACACAGCACCACTGAAAGATCATTAATTGCTGGCTTAAAGACTACAGCAGCATCAGAACATCTGATGTATGGCCATCAAGTAACTAAATACTCCTGCAATCTCAGGCAAGCCACCAAATTTACTAGGGTGTTGATTTCCCCATTTCTGAGACAGCAGTAATACTAATTCATTTAGCAAAAGATTTGCAACAGTGACAGATGAAACTGTTTGTACATCAAGACCAAAGTACTTGCCGTACCGAAGGCCGATTAGAAGTACCAACAGTGCAGAGCTGCACTTTAGCCTTGTGGGCTAATATACAACAGTCTAATCTTTCCACTCAGATTTCAGAATACCAACTGCAGATGTTGCAGTATCTTATTTAATGAGGATTTCCAGCCATCTCCCTATACTCCTTTATCTCTTATCCTCTTCTAGATTGGAATCCCTGAAAATTTCCCACAAGCCATCAAGCATACAAGCCATCAAGGGTCACGGGCTCATCTTCCCCGCTCCATCTCCATCTCTGCTGGAAACATCTTTCTTTGCTAGTATTATGACCATGTGTCATGGTTTAACCCCAGATGGCAATTAAATACCACACAGCCGCTTGCTCCCCCCTACACACACACACACACAGTGGGGAGAGGTATCAGAATTTAAAAAAACCCCAGACACCTCATGGGTTGAGATAAGAACAGTTTCCTAGTTCAAACAAAATAAAATAATAACAACAACAACAATAATAATACTAATAGTAATAGAGAAAGAAATGGAGAAAAAGAAATAACACCCGAGAGGAACAAGTAATGCACAATACCATTGCTCACCACCCACTGAGCAACATTATTTTCATATTAAAACCAAATATACAGCTCTGTACCAGCACCACTGTCCCAGTCAAATGCAGGACACCATGACACATGACCCTGCTAAATATTTCTACTTTCTGGCCTCACCTGTCTCACCATTCAACAGGCCTGCACTACTTATCCTCACTTTCAAGCCCCTGTTCCTAACCTTATCTCCAGTTATAATGCCCTATTGGCATCCTTATCAATGTTTATTCTCTTTATATCAGATTTCTTTCCTTGTGATCAGACCCTCAGTGTAGGACATGGCTCGAGCCCTGACACCATACACTGGCCGTCTCATTTTGTTTCAGTTCTTCCCCCATGCAGAATGACTGGTGTCCCACACATCAGTCTTGCCATTTCTAAACTTCTGTTTTCTCTGAGGCAATAGATTTAATCTTGTACAGAGCAGAAGCATGCTGAACACCTTTGAGCACTTATAAAAACTGAAACATGAATACAGTATGTATTCATTTCCTCTTTCATAACTCCTCTTCCCAGCGTTGTTCTCTTGCAATATCAACACTTATTTTCTTTATTTTCAACCGCAGCAGACCAGCCTGGTCTTGTTGTTTCCACTTTGTCCACTTTTGGGGCAGAGAAAGAGCCGTTTCTGAATTTCTCGAACAGTACCTGAACAGCCAGAGCCTC